TGTGGTCTTCTGGGGGCCGTACCCCACTGCATCCATTTATAGAAAGATCTGGGCGATGCTGGTCCGCGGCTACCGACACCAAAAGGGGCGGTGACTGCAAACCTGTACCTTGGTGTCTGCCCAGAAGGTACAGGACAGCGTGCGGGACAGCGTGCGTGTGGCTGGACAGAGAGAAAGGGGTCCGCTAGGCCAAGGGGTCATCATTGGTGAGAGTTAGCCCCGTGGCCACAGCTGGACCGATCTGTAGAGCGAGGGTCTGGGTGCCCTTCTCTGTTGACCTCACCTGTCCTTTAGCAGACTTACCGGAGGCGGGCGCCCATCCCACCAATCACTGTGTCTCTTTGACACCTGCCCCGTTTCACCAGGGCCCCACCTGCCCTTAGCATTTCCGCCGTATCCGCCACCCTGCGTACTCAAAGCCCAGGGGTGGAATGCTCTCTCTCCCATAGAACAATCCATGTTTTCTACTGCGGCATGGGGTTACTTTTCCTCCCCCCTCCCTCCCTCCCTCCCTCGCTCCCTCCCTTCCTTCCTTGCTGTCTGATGAATCAATAGCCTGTAGGTTCTGAAGACCTCACAGGCCAGGGGAGGCTGTGGTGAGCAGGAACAATGTGCTGAGTCAGCACTTTCTGAATTAGGAGACTGTCCCTTTCCCTCCAGGGCCCCTTGGCTGTAGGAGTGAGTATGGTAACCATGGGCCTAAGGACCAGCCTCCTTGGTGCTGTTCCCTCTGATGCCGCCCTGGGGCCCAGGCTGGGGAGAGGCTCTGTGGGTACAGCCTCTGGCTCTCCCTGCCCGTTGGTGCCGAGGATGGTGGTGCCAAGGATGGTGGTGCCAAGGGTGGTGGTGCCAAGGATGGTGGTGCCAAGGACAGTGGCTGTTGGCCCAGCACCTGGTCTGGTTCTCGGGGGAGCAGGAGAGAACGGCTCGCTGTTCCCGCAGCAGCAGGGGGCGCAGCATAAGTGGGGTCCAGAGCGGTAGGGGCTGGTTCACTTGAGCTTTTAGGCTTCGGAAGGGCCTCTGGCTTTGACTCGGGGCGGGGGGGGGGGGGGGGGGGGGGGGGGCCCTGGAGGGGTGTGAGCAGCAGTGGTGTGATCAGACCTCTCAGGGTGCCCTGAGGACAGGCTGTGGGGAGCAGGGCCAGGAGGAAGCAGCCGGGTGAGCCATGAGAGCGGCCTGGATGAGGGAGTGCAAGCAGCGCGTGTTGATGGGAAAGCAGAGGAGGGTCTGGATTTGGCTGTTTTGAAGGCGGAGCCTGCAGGCTGTGCCGATGGCCAAGGTTGGGCGGCAGGGACTGTGGCCAGCACGCGGGGAGGATGCCGGGAGGACGGGGTCGCGTGTGTGGAGATGGGGGGACTTCAGAAGGGCGGTTGGGGGTCACTGCAACCAGGACTTTAGTTGGGGATCGATCACGTGCGCAGACTCCCGTTACATGCGTGAGACTTGGAGTCGGCACTTGGCTGTCAGAGTCAGGAGGTCGGTGGAGAGGCTGTGGCTGCAGATGGGAACGTGGGCGTCGTCACTGTGCAGGTTTGATTGACAAGCCGTGAGGCTGGATGCAGTCACCCAGGGAGGGGGCGCAGGTGGGCTGGGCCCTGGGGTCCCCCAACACAGAGAGTGGGGCCTGGAGGAGGCGCCGGCAGAGGAGGCTGAGAGGGAGAGGTCGGTGACGGAGGCGAGGACCAAGAGGGTAGTATCCAAAGCCAAGTGGAAAGGAAGAAGGCTTCAAAAATGAAGGAGGGACCAGCTGTGTCAAAGGATGAGAACTCGGAGTTGGCCATGGGCTTTAGCAACGTGGAGGTCACCCATGACCTTGCAACGTAGGCGAAGGACAAAGGCAAGCTCCCGAGCTGCCTCCCTCGGCCCGGCGGGCGGGAGACAGTCTGTGAGACGCGGGCAGGCAGCTCAGCGGGTGGGCACTGGCCAGCCCGGAAGGCCTCACAGGCGGCGGAGGCCGTCCTCCCCAGAGGCCTCCGCAGGTGCAGCCGCAGGGCCGGGGCCTGTCCTCTTGCCCCCCGTGATTTCAGGGAGACAGCCTCCGGCCATTCATCCGCAGGGCCGGGGCCTGTCCTCCGGCCATTCGTCTGCAGGGCCAGCCACATGAGTTCTGGTCCTACTGGGAGCTGCCAGGCATCCAGCACTGGGCTGCCCGGCACCAGCGACCCATCCGACCTCTCAAAGTGTTTTGCGCAAACTCAGTCCCTCGGCTGCCTTTCAAGCACCGTCATCTTCAGACGCGGCGTGGTAATCAGAGCACCCGCGGCGGGAAGGGAAGGCCCCAGCTCTCAAGTGGCGTAAAGGACAGGTTGGGCACCAACGAAAAGTCTCTTTCCCGTGTTGCACTTGGGGATCCCAGACACCGAAAGTGGGTTGTCATGGAGACGCCTGTCAATACCTATTGAGCTTCCCGTGCTGAACAGAGCCTCAGAGCGAGCATCACGCGTGGGGAGCTGTGTCTTGGGCTCTTTCTCATCAGGCCCAACCTGAGCCACGGCCGGCCAGCAGGTGACGCGGCCAGGCTCACCGTTCCCTGACGCTCCCGCGCCATTCAGGGTAGACTTCACAGCGGTGCATGTGCTGACGCCATGAGGGAGGGACTGACTTTTACGTTTTCTTAACATAATAAATTCCAATAGTCACAGGTGGCCAGTGGCTCCCGTGCAGAGAGCAGGGACCAGGGGCTGTCCCACCTTCGCAGGCAGGTCTGCCGGCAGCACCCACTGTTTTAACCACTTCAATGTGTTGGGGGGAGGGTGTAGGGAGGAGGCAGTCAGGATCTTTCAAAATTGTGAGTAAAATTTTGTGAGATGTTAAGTTGTTGTTTTTTGGTTTTGCTTTGTGTTTTTTTCTTTCAAGAAAAGGGTTAATAGCTTTTGTCAGATTCTCAAAGGATTATGTGACCCTCCAAAAGGTTAAGAACCATCAATCTGGAGTAATAGGTTATATACATAGTGAGACATATATTATCTACATGTATGATATAATGTATATTACATGTATGTTGTGGAGTAGCAAGCACCTGATGAGACAGAATGTAACTTTAAAAAACAACTTTTTTAGTGACTTGAGAGAGAGGACAGGAGAGAGAGAAAGATGGAGTTGCTGTTCCACTTAGTCATGCAGTCACTGGTTGATGCTTGCATGTGCCCTGATCGGGGCTGGAACCCGCGACCAGCCCCCCATGGCTGTGGCGTATCGGGACGATGTGCTAACCAGCTGCGCTCCGGCCAGGGTGGCGGAATATGACATTTTGCTTGAGGGGAGAGAAGCTGTGGGCCCCTGTCTCTGGCACTAGAGTCACAGACCTCTCCCGGAGCAGCCCCTCTGCCCTGGGAAGGGCCACTCAGGGTCCCTGTGGCCCGGGTTCTGGGACAGGAAACGTGGCTGAGGAAGGGCTGTGGCCAGGTAGAGCGGTGTGCCCTCCCCCCGCAGAGCGTGAAGCCGGTGGGGAAGGAGGAAAGACCCAGACCCTTGTCCTGTCTGGGCTGGGCTGTCCCTGAGGAGGTCAGCGACAGGAAGGAATGCACTTCAAAGGTGAGGTGTCCGGGGAATGTCACCTGAAGCCAACCCCAGGGACCTGGGAGTCCTAGATAAGGGGGTGAACGCAGAGTCCAGGCAGCGCTCGGACAAGGACAGGGCCAGCCCCCCCCCCCCCCCCCGGGCTCACACCTCAGCTCTGCGGCTACTAGCAGCAGCAGCATGACCTTGGGCCTAACCTCCCCGTGCCTCAGTTTCTTCATCTGTATGATGGGGCTAATTAAAGCTGAGGGTTATTATGAGGATTAAACGAGGGAAAAACACTTTGCCTGAGCCTGGCCAAGGGAGACCCCTGGCGTGTTTGTTGAATAATCTCACGTGTGGGTCAGCGAGACTCACGGCTGTCAGAGAGCTGTGACACTGAGGGTGGGGGGGCGGTCCCATCTGAGAGAGGAGGCATTCTTCTCCACCACCCTCCCAGCCGCACCTGGGAAGCCAGCAGGTGTGGCCTGGCTGTCCCAGGCGCTTCTGAAGGGACAGTGGGGGCGGGAACCAGGACTGGAGCCTTGGGGTGAGCTGCTGCTCCCGGGGTCTTTGGCGGGTGGGACCCCTGTCCTTCGCACACTCCTCAGGCTGGGACGTGGGCCATCGTCAGTGTGGCCCTATCTCCCTCTTTGAGCTGGAGAAATGGGAGGGACCAGGGACGCCTAGTGACGAAAGCTGCAGGCAGCAAACAGACCCCGGTCTCCGCTCTCTGGACTCAGGCTGGAGTTTGCACTCACCCAGTAAAAACCGAGGGGTTCCCCGGGCCAGCGCCTTTGTCCAACAGCGGCCCTGTGTTCTGAGGCTGACTGCCCTGCCCTGGGCACTCAGCACAGGTCCCAATCCCAGGTCTGCCGCTTCCAAGCTGCATGGCCTTAGACAAGGACCTGGGACTGGAGCCTCTCTGAGACTCAGTTTACCACCTGCTAAATGGGCACCATAGTAGGGAGCTCATAGCGCTGCTGGGGGATCCCTGAGAGCAAGTCTGCAAAACAGGGAGCAGAGTGTTACATGGACAATGGGGACTTGTAAACAGTAGTGAAGAATGGAGGGATGGATATGTATTACACGCAGGTCAATCAGTTAATCCATAGGTGTCTCCTAAGAATAGGTTGGCCTCTCTCTGTCCTCAGGAAAAAGGGTGACTTGATGTCTGAGCCAAAGAGCGACTTCAGGGAAGTAAAGAGAACCATAAGCTAGTTTAGCTAAAATGCTAGTCAGCCAGCACCGGGGTAATCTCCCGGGGACAGCATTTGGACTTCTCGCATTTATTTACCTTTAATCTGGGGATGACTTCTCCATGGACCCAGCAAGGGGAGTTGGGTTTTCTTATTCAGAGATGGGGCCTTGCAAATTGTGCTCCCTGGAGCACCCCCACAGGCCACACACACACACACACACTGGCCCACCCCCACCCCCACCCCCTCGCGATTCTCTGAGGTCAGAGCTACAATGAAGAAAGCTCTTCCCTCAAAGACCCCTTTCCCCTGCAGGTTCCGGTCCGGGGCCCGCATCCCTGTCATTCTGTCTTCAGGGTGTGGGACAGGCTGCCTTGGCCTCGTAGCCACTTGCTCCCGTGGCAGCCACTGCGGGCCTCTACAGGGAAGGGCCGCAGCCATAGCATGCCTGCCTCCCCTGTGTCACCAACAAGGGGCCAGATCTCAGCCAGGGGGTCAGCATTTGCCAGGAGCGCCTGGGCTTCCGGCGGCCGCTGCGCTCATGCCGTGTCCTTCTAGCCAGTGAGGAAGGTGGTGGTTCCTTTTGTTCCTGCTGGGATGTAGTTCACATACCATAAACCTCACACTGTAAAGTGTACGATTTAGTGGGTTTTTGTATATTTACAAAATTGTGCAACCATCACCGTGTTCCAGTTCCAGGACCTCGTCATCCGTCTTTGTTTAATTCACGTTCTTGGGCAAGATCGACCCATAGGCCGGCCGACTGGGGAGCAGGACCCCTTGGGCCTCTGTGGTTAACTTTAAGACGGAAGGAAGGCCTCTGGGGCCGCACTGTCTCGAAGCTGTGTGTGGGGATGGGCCAGGGCACACCGGGGGCATGGGAAGCTTGCCGATGCTGTTCCATAGCTCCCTTTCTCTCTAGCCCCCCTTTGCCTGAAAGTTGGGGGGGGGTGGGATGTATGTCATGTGCTGGGTGGATTCTAGAGGAAATACACATGGGCGTGGGGTGCTCGCACCTGGCGGGGCTGGAGAGACAGACCCCAGCATAGAGAGAGGCCTGACACAGTCCTCACTTACACAGAAATGCTTAACGAAAACAAGAGGCCTGGATATATTCTGGCCTCTCTGGATAGAAAAGTAGACGTGAACCTGGTTCCTTCAATTCTCTAGTTCAGGGGGTCCTCAAACTTTTTAAACCGGGGGTCAGTTCACTGTCCCTCAGACCGTTGGAGGGCCGGACTATGGTTTAAAAAAAAAAACTATGAACAAATTCCTATGCACACTGCACATATCTTATTTTGAAGTAAAAAAACAAAACGGGAACAAATACAATATTTGTATTTTCATGTGGCCCACGGGCCCTGGTTTGAGGACCCCTGCAGTTACCAAAGCAGATCCGTTTGGTACCTGCCCAGGTGAAGGCATTTCGGTGGCTCTAAAGGGAAAACCAGAATGGGCCGGTCTCTCGGAGGCCTGAGCCTATGTGCCGGGCAGAGAAGGGACGCCTCCCGGGTCCGGCACTCCAGAGGCTCCTGAGAGGAGCTGCTAAGCCGGTGACGGGGCCTGCTGTGTGCAGACTCTACCGCGTACAGTATAGACGGCTGGGATTTCATTCATTCATTCACTCATTCACTCATCCATTCCACAGTACTTATTGAACCCAAACCTTGAGCCGGACACCGTTGGTGCACAGGAGGGCAGAGAGGCTTGGAGAGGCTGCGCAATTTGCTAAACGGAGGCAGGATGCAGGTGCTCAGGAGGGGAGCTCGGGGTCTGAGAGGCGTGGGTTTGGGTCCTGGTTCCACCGCACCCTCCTCCTCCTGGCGGTGGCCCAGTGTTCCGTTTCTGGTCCTTGGTCTCCTCACCGGTCAGGGGGCAGTGCTACCTGTCTCTAGAGCTGCTGTGAGGGTTGGATGAGATGACCTGGGGGAGGGTTAGGATGGCGCTGGCACACAGAGCACTTCATGCAAGTTAGCTATTCTCATCACTGCCCAAGGCTGCGCGGCCAGCCAGTTCAGAGTCCCCTTCCCTCCCACGGCCCTGTGCTACCTCCAGAGCCATCAGCCTCCTCCAGTCCTCCCAGTCTGAGGGTCACAGAGGCTTCTCCATCCCCCCTTCCCCACAGGACCGTCCTGCCCCTGCACTGCTGGTGTGGGGAGGCAGGCCACCCGCAGCCCAGCCGGCGCCTGCACCTGGGTCTTCTCACCTGCGGGCGGCTCTCTCCTGGTCTAGAACCCCTGGAAAGTGTGGGAAATACGGGCTCCTCCAGACTCATCCTGTGAGCCTCCGGGTCCTCATGGTACCCAGGCAGCTCACACTGGCCTCCACTTGCTCCCTCCCCTGTGCCCAAATGTGACCACACACAGGGAGCCAGAGCCACTTCCTTGTTGTCCTCACCCCCACCCCGTGTCCCCCCACTCCCAGCCCCGTGCCCCCAGGACCATTTTTCCCCAGGACAAGAGAGCTGAGTCTCACTCACCTCAGGAAGCTGTTGCTTCAGGAGCCAGGAGACCTCTGCCTCAGTTTGTCCCTGTGGAGGAGAGGGTGCCCACCCAGCCAGGGGCACCTTGCAGGGTCCTGCAGTCATGCCACTGTGTGAATCTTCGGGGAGGGCTTGCTTCTGATGAAGTGACTTCTGTCCTGCAACGACCTCCAGGGCAGAGGGAGGCTGGGGATACCCGGGTCCCTTCAACCTGGACACAGAAGGGCAGCTCAACCGGGAGAGTCCTAAGGTCCCGCCTGTCCCACTAGGTGGGATCTAGGACGCCTGGGGCGGGGTGGTGTTGGGGAGCCCCTTCCCACAGGGAGGGGGTTTCAGGGCCGCCCCTGCACTCACTTGCGTCCCCACCAACTCCAAGGGTGTCCTGCGTCGAGCAGGGTAGCGGAAACCGAGAGGATTGAGAAGCGCGCTCCTCGGGGCTGTCCCGCGCCTTCCCCGGGCTCCGTGCTCTGGACCGACCCGCAGTAGCGTTTGTGTCTCGGGAACCTTTGTGCATCCGGCCCTCTGAGCTGACCCCCAGCCCAGGAGCCCAGGCTCCACTCCTGAGCGCCGCGCCCGGTTGTGGCCCCGGCCCACCGCCTGCACCGCCTCCTGCGCCGGGGCGCGGCGGGCCGTGTCACCCCGGTGGCTCGTAGCGCGGGAACTTCCCCGGCGCCCCTTCCTGGCACCAGGACCCCTTCCCCGGCTCCTGGAGACCGGGGCTGCGTGGACCTTCGAGCTCTCCGGCGCGCAATGTCGTGGAGGCTGCAGGTCCAGACCCGGGACGCCGCCCTCATCCGCGCCGGACACGGACACGGGTTTCTTCTTCCCTCTTCTGGGGGAGAGGCCCGCAGGCTGGGCATCATGGGGGTGCGCCCAGGCTTCTCTTTGCCTTCTTACAGGCCCCCTCAGTCCGCCCGGGCTTAGGGCCGCCTCGGAGGGCGAGGAGCCCCGGAAGGGTCTCGAGGGCCATGGGGCTGGGACATGGTCCCTGGGAGGCGCGCCCTGGCACTCCGGGCGGCAGAGGCGAGGGGCGCTGCGCAAAGTCCGCGCTCTCACTCGGGAAGCCCAGCCCCGGCGACCGAGGAGGCCCTTTGGGCCCGGGCCCCGCCTCATGGCCCAGCGCGCGCCGTCCCCCTGCCGGGCGCCTCGGGCAGCGTGCACAGCCCATCCCCCGACGTGACCCCGGCGTCTCCAGCGCCCCCTGCCCCAATCTCGCTCTGGCTGACGCCGCCCCGACCCGCCCCGACCCGCCCCTCCTGTCCCCACCTGGACTTTTCCTTTTCAGGTGGAGGCGGTGCCCGAGCCCCGAGCGTCTGGGGCGCGTCGACTGCCCGGATCTTGGGCGGTGGAGACGCGGCTCCCGCCCCGGGTGGCGCGCGCAGGAGGGAGGACCCGGGCGCGGCCCCGCCTGGGCCGGCGCTGGGCTTGCCTGGGCTTGTTCGGAGCCGGCGCTTCCCTCCGCGACCACGCAGAGCCGGGGGATTTGGAGATTTTGCCGGAGCCTCGCCGCCAAACTCGGGGAGGAGGGGGCCGGAGCCCGCGCCCCACTCCCCGCGTCCGTCAGAGGGGAGCGCAGGTAACGCCCGGGTTGTCCGCCTGCGGGAAAGTTGGAGAAGACGGAGGCAGGGCTGGACGGAGCACTTTAATTACAATCATCCTGGAAACCCTGTTCAATTGTGTGGCCTCCGAGTCATAAAGGGAAGAATTTCCAAGAAGCAACAAAATGCTCTTTGATTCCATGGTCTCTGGAGAGAAAGGATTCCTTCTCTGGGTTTGCCCGGCCGGCTTTCTTCCTCTCGCTGCACCGCGGGCGCAGGCGGGCCGGCTGGTCTGGGAGTGGAGACGGGGCTCTGGTTTTACTGCCGCTGCTCACCCAGCTGAGGCCGGAGCAAATCCTTGACCCCCGAGGTGGGGGGCGGGGGCGTCGAGACTGACCCCCCAACGGATGCAAAAACCTCGGGATGTGCAAAGTGCTGTAACAGTGGGATGAAAAGGGCAGGTCTCCCAGCTCGCGTTCCAAAGAGAGGCCCCGGAGAGGGGGTTTCAGGCTTCCGGTCCCCCAGGTGAACGTGAGCGCCCCCCTCCCTAGCGCCCCGCGCCCCACCCCGCCCCACTCCGCGGGCTGGAGCCCTGCCTGCCTGGGGACTTGAGGGGTGCACTTCTCATAGTCCCCGCTCCTGGCTGAGACCCGCAGGCGGCGTGGCAGGGGCGCCCCTCCCCCAGGTGAGGTGGGGGGCCCTTCCCCAGGTGAGGTGGGGGGGCCCTTCCCCAGGTGAGGTGGCTGTGGCCAGGTAGCCGGGATGGGCACTGCTCCGGCGCCTTCACTGTTTCCGGGCCTGGTGGAGCCGAGGGAGCGAGGGGCCAGGGGGGGCCTGCGCCCTCCTGGTGCATCCTCCCCGGCCTCCCGCAGCCAGGGTGGCTGAGCCTCCTGGAGTGGCGCCTGCGGGACTCTGTAGCAGATGCCCTCCTGTCAGGGGCACAAGGCCCACTGGAGGTTACGTGGGGCGGGCAGGCTCCGCTTCTGCCTCAGGCCTGAGCTCTGGGACACGGGCCTTGCCTCTGAGCCTCCGCGTCTCCCGTGAGCCCCAAGTGCTGTGCAGCCCGGAGGCTCCCTCATGGTCTGTCCTGCAGGAACCCCGGGGCCCGCTGGCATCTGCCGCCACCCGGGGTGGTGGCCTGTCTCCTGAACTTCCCAAACCCGAGGACTGGCCGGACTGGCCCGCTCTGCCCCGCCAGTCAGCTTCCTCCCTGGCCTCAAGGATCCCTGGACTGGACGGCATGTTTACTCCCCGCCCCAAGTCCTTGGCACACATCACAAATCAATAATGGAAACCTCGCCCGGCCTCCGGGTCCTTCTCCACACAGCACACCAAGCAGTACTTCCCTGGATTGCGTCACCGGATTGCCATCCTGCTTCTGGGCTAGGAGGTGGGAAGATGGAAAGACAAGCAGATGCCCTGGTCACAGGCCTCTCAACCCTGGATTAGGGGAGATCGGATGTTTCTGATAAGGCGGATGTTCACCTGGTGTGCCGCCAGAATTTTTAAAACGTAATTTCCAGCTATTTAGTCAGGGCCATGGGCCTCTTTTCCCTCCGGTCACAGGTGGGGAACCTTTTTTCTGCCAAGGGCCATTTGGATGTTTCATATTATCCGAGGGCCATACAAAACTATCAACTTAAAAATGAGCCTGCTATATCTGATCAAACATTTAATTAACTGACCCCTAATGCCTTGGCAGGGCTAGACCAAATGACTTCTCAGGCCTTATCTGGCCCACGGGCCGGGCGTTCCCCACCCCTGCCTTAGATCGTCAAATTTAAAAATGACAGCAGCCAACACAAGTAGCCATCCAGTGTGGATGAATCAAAAGTATACCTTTTTTTTTTTTGTCAGATCGGCAAAAAATATATATTTTTTGGTGTGTCGCAGGATTTTAGTAATTAGTTTGTGTGCCACGAGGTGAAAAAGGTTGAAAATCGCTGTAATAAGGAAATAGACAGGATTCATTCCTTCCTTCGTCCGTTCGTTCAGCAAATATTTATTGAGTCCTTGCTATGCGCTGGCATCCTTTCAGCTTTGAGACGACAGCAGTAAAGCAAACGGGCACATCTTGGCTTGTGGGGAGCTGGTCTTTGGTGGCGGAAACGGGAGGTAAATGAACAAAGTAGGATTTGAAACAGTGTTAGATTGTGATCAATGCTATGAGCGGTATGAGGGTGACGTGTGCCAGGGAGGGGTGCTATTTTGGATGGGCTGTGGTGGGTGTTAAGTCATCCAGGGAGGGGAGGGCTTTCCAGGCAGCAGGGCCAGCGGAGCAGATCCTGTGCTTGGTGCATCGGAGACATTTTTAAGGAGGCCAGCGAGGCTGGGGGGGAGGGCTAATAGGTACCAGATGGAGTCAGGCAGGGCCAGGTCATGGAGGGCTCTGTAGGCCCTGAGGACTTCGCAAGAAAACCCAGAGGGTGATGTGCAGCAGCCTTTGGAGGGTTTTGAGCTGCAACTGTCATGATCTTACGTCTTAAAACCATCCCTCCGGCTGTTGTGTAAAGAACATCCTGAGCTAAGAGTGGCAGCAGGGACACCCTCTGGAGGCTTTCCTCAGTCCGGCTGGGAACCAGGGAGCCTGGACTGGGGCTGTAGTGTGGAGGGGGGGGGGGGGGGGGCCGTGGGCGTGGGTAGGAGGCTTTGGAGGTAGAGCCAATAGTCTGCTGGGTGGATGAGGGGGAGTTGGTGGGCGGGGAGCGGGAAGAGGACACAAAGACGACTACACATGCCCTAGCTGGTTTGGCTCAGTGGATAGAGCGTCAGCCCTCGGACTGAAGGGTCCCGGGTTTGATTCCGGTCAAGGTCACATACCTTGGTTGCAGGTTCCCCAGCCCTGGTCGGAGTGCATGCAGGAGGCAACCAACTGATGTGTCTGTCACATCAGTGTTTCTCTCAGTCTCTCCCTCTCCCTTCCACTCTCTCTGAAAATCAGTGGAAAAATATCCTCATGTGAGGATTAACCAAAACAACAAAGATGGCTGCACAGACTATGGCTTGCACAGATGGATGAACTGTTCACTGGGAGGGGAGACCTGGGGAGCAGGCTGCAGGGTTTTCTGGGAGATCCGGAGTTCTGGTTTGGCTGGTTAGTTGCCCAGGTGGAGATGGTATTGGGTGTTGGAACCTGGAGTGTATGGAGTATAGGAGAGAGGTCTCGCGAAGATGGTACCTAATGCCGTGGGACTGGATGGGATTGCCGAGGGCAGGGTGGGTGGCGGAGCAGAAGGAGGGAAATGGTCATCTTGGAGAACAGGGAGAGGATGGACAAGGAAAGTGACAGAACAGCGCCTGACATATGGCAGGTGCTTGATCAATATCGGTTGGGTGGATGGATGGATGGATGGGCGGGTGGGTGGATGTGTGGGTGGGTGGGTGGGTGGATGTGCTAAGGATCTAACGGCCATGCAGAGACTGCTGGCTGCCAGATTCTAGCAGCAAGTACGGGGAATGTAAGAAAACAGTAAGTGCTCTGGGATTTCAGGGGTGCACAGGACTGGGGAGAGGCCGAGGCAGTCTGGGGGAAGCAGAAAGGATTTGGGCTGAGCCTGGGAGAGCAGCCAGGATTCAGAGACAAGTGTAGCGAAGTGGAAGGAACATGGAAGGGAATGGCATTAGCAAAGCTGGGAATGCAGGAGGCCTCCTTAAGGTTTAGCTGTCTGTTCCAGGCACAGGAGTGGGGCTGGGTGGAGGGAGGGCTCTTATGAAGGCAGAAGGAATGGCTGAGGACTAGAGGGCAGGGGGTTAGCTGGGGAGAGAAAGCCTGCCTCAGAGGCCCTGCCTGCACTCCCTGGCCTCCACCCTCTCGGATCCTACCCACTCCTGCCGCCTACCTTGGGGAGCCTGGGTGGCACCTATCGGTCTGTTCTCTGGTCTCTGTGAGGTAGGGAGGGTGGGGGGGTAGATGGTTGGGTGGGTGAGTGAGTGGATGAGTGGGTGGATGGATGGGTGGATGTTTAGGGACAGAGGAAGGGAGAGAGAAACATCAATGTGAGAGAGAAACATTGTTCCGTTGCATCCTGTACACATCCCGATGGGGGAATCAGACCCGCAACCTGGGTATGTGCCCTGACCGAGAATCGAACCCGCAACCTTTTGGTGTACGGGATGGCACTCCAGCCAACTGAGCCACCTGGCCAGGGCATGACCCTCATTTCTGATAGAAGAAGAGTGAGGTGCTGAATGGCTGGTGCCACCTCCTTAGGGGGTGATGTGGGTGCAGTCTCCCCCCCCACCCGCTGGGCCCTCCAGCTGTTCTTGCCCTGTTTGCACCTGTGGCCTTTGCTGAGGGCCGGCCTGCTCTCCTGTGTTAGGTGTGAGTTAGGCAGGCAGATCACTTGTTTGTACCACACGGAGAGGAGGGGTGCCGACTCCAGAGCCATCAGAAGTGGCATTTACTTGCACGTGTGTGTGTGTGTGTGTGTGTGTGTGTGTGTGTGTGTATTTGTGTGTGTGCAGTCGGGGAGGACCGGCAGGGCCCTTTAAATCCAGCTTCAGTGATTAAAGTCCTTAGCAATGGAAGTGGTTGGTGGCCAGCTGTGGGCTGTCCCCTCGCATTCTGGGCCTGGCTGTAGGGGCCATGCGGAGGCTGCTAGGTGCCAGGTGCGGCGTCTAGCAGCTTTTTTCTCCACTGGAAGTGCCCCAGCAGGGCTCCAGCGTCCTTACGCGCCTGGCACAGAGTCAGAGGCTGGCTGCCCAGGCCCAGCTGTGTCTGGCTGCAAATCGGGAAAGATGACTAACCTTCCTGGGTTTGCTTCCTCATCTTCCACAAAGTGGGCTAATGTGAGGACCCCCTTCGTAGAGTTCGGTGCAAAAACAATTAGATAATGGACACAGACTCCGGAGCAGGCCGTGGCCGCTACTGGGCCTCGTCCCCGATAAAGAGCCTTGCTTTCCCAGATGCGTAATAATTTCACTACGTCAGGAGAACCTCCCTCCGCCCATACAATCTAGCGAGGCTTTGGAGATTTTTGTTTGGTTGGCTTTTGCATTGCAAATTTCCCTCTCTCCACTTCCTGAAAATGGGTGCTTTCCTTTGTTGTTGTCGTTAACTAGCATTGCAGATACTGAGGGGGGTAAAGTGCCTTGGGTGGATGCAAAAAGGCCCTCCACCCCCACCCCGTCCCTGGCTGTGGGCAGGTGTTAGCTGACCCCAATGGGTAGAGCCCAACATCTACAGTCTAGACCTGGGGCCCCCTGACCTCACGGTGCCAGTGACCGCTTCCGCACTGTCATTGGGTGCAGTCATTGGGCTGACCCACTCCTCCCAGCCTCCCCACCTCACCTGCCTGAGTCCCCTCTGATGCCCCTCCTTCCTCTGGGCAGATCAGCCTGGGGCTGGTGCCTCACTCCCTGGGGAGAGAGTGGAGTTTCAACACTCAACTCAGTAGGAGAAAAGCGGGTGGAGAAAGGGAGGGTCCATCGGAGGGGGAAGAGCTGGGTGGGGGCAGAGAGGTCCCCTTCGGGGAGGGGTGTTAGCTGATCCGAGCTGAATGGATTCCTAATCCTGACATTAAACATATTCTGAGGAAGTCACATCATCTCACAACAAAATGAATGACTGGAGAAGGACTTGGAAGTGGAGGGGACTGCTGTTGCTATTGCCCCCTCTCCTGAAACCCACCCCCAGTGCCGGGGGAAGCAAGTTGTATAAAATCCTGGACCATGTGATCAACCACGAATCGATGCCGCCTCCTCCTCCTCCTCCTCCAGGGTCACCACAGGCCTGTGCTGGTTCTCAGAATTATCTGCCCAAACCCCAGAGCACATTCAAATCACTGCCTGCAGCCCCGAGGGACAGGGAAGCAGCTCTTGTGAAGCTGCTGAGAAGCAGCTGCTCAGGGCCCTGGGTCCCTCCCAGCCGGCTCCCCGCCCTGCCCGCCACCCCCCTGCTCAGGGCAGAACCAGAACCGGGAGGGCTGTGGGTGGGAGGCAGAGAGCCTGCAAGGGTAAGGCAGTTGGGCTGACCCAACAGGGAAAGGTGGGGCAGGGGGACATTTCAGGCTGAGCCTGCAGGGGGACGGCAGCTCTCCACCCACCGCGGACTGTCCTGGCCCCTCAAAAGCCATTTAACCCCAGGATACTTCAGAACTTCCATTCGCTTAGAGCCAGTCATAAGCCACAGCACTGCACCCTGAATGTTGTTTTAAAAGCAGACACTTCCCTGCCTGCTCGTTCTCTCCCCTTCACCGCCTCCCAGGTGCTCCCTGAAACGCAGCTCCGACGGCTTGCTCGAGCTCATTCTGTTCGTTTGTGTGCATCGTGCCAGGCCCGCCCGGTCACTGTCCCGGAGGCTCACTCTCACCCTCGGCCTGAAACACGTGTCGCACCAACTTTGGTCGAAGTTGCCTTGGGAGCGGGGAGAAGTAGGAAGACGGTTGTTTGGGAGTGAGATGGCCCTCGTTTACCTGTTGTAATGTGCCCCGCGAATCACAGAAGGACGCCTCAGGAAGTCGAATTAAAGAGTCACATTTATTGCAACCCGGGACTATGAGGGGGCATTCCCAAATCTCATAGCCATAAGATGGTGGCAAAACCAGACTTCTATAGGCAAAAATCACAAAGGTATTGATTACATCTCAGGGTTTGGAATGAGGCACCTGGCTCCCCAAAAAGCAGATTACAGATGCAGAATTAAGCATGTTAATTACAGTTTCGGGTCTCAGGGTCACTGAATTGACAGAAATATATTATCTAGAGCCCTTGGGTAACCTGGGTTAAACTTAGGCATGTTATCTCAATTACAGTTTTGGGTCTCCGGATCACTGAGTTGATAGAAACACATTATCTAGAGCCCTCGGGTCTCCCGACCACTGAGTTGTCAGGACAATTTAGAGTAATTGTGCTGTCCTGGTCTCGGGACCACTGAGGCAGCTGGAACGCACCACCTGTGGCCACTAAAACAATTTAGGGTAATTGTGCTGTCCTGTTTCCCAGGTACAGAAGAATGTGCTCTCTAAGACCAGTATGATAACAATCAATGGAATAGTCATTTAATCAATAAGGCGTTCAATCAAAAGGGATGATTTATACAATTCAGAAAATCAAAGTAACCTGTCCATTGTTAAACAAAGCAAATAGGTACCATACTTCATACCCTCATCTTCTCGGGGTACTGGGCAAGGATCGAACATCTCTCATCCTGGAATGGGTTATGTTTGCCCCACCGGCCTCACAGAATTGCCGGGAGGGTCGCAGGAGACGGGTTGCATTCCCAGTGCTCCGTGGCCTGCCTCCAGGTCAAGGCTCTGTGCACCCTTGGCCAGACAGACCATCGCTGCCTCCACCGACGTCACTGCCCAGTCGGGACAACAGAGGGTAAACCTGTCGGGTGGGCATAGCAAACAGTTACGGAGCCTCACTGTGTCCTTCTCCGATGCTGCTTGTCTAATCCCTGCACCAACGCGTGAGGAAGCTGCTGTTGTGTCCATTTTACAGATGAGGAGACTGAAGCCTGGGGGGCCGTCGGGCACAGGTGCCGTGACGGCAGAGCCAGGGCTCGAGCGTGTGCGGCATGAGCGTCACTCTGCTGCGACCTTGGTGGAAGACAGCAAGGCCCCGCCCAGGAGCTGAAGTGGCCTGAAGCCCTTGACAACTGTTCCTGTGGGCCTGGCGTCCAGCCACCGGACCCACCTTCTGTTGGTGAGAAGTAAGTCGTAGGTCCCACCCACACTCGAGGGTTGGGGCCGGCATAAGGGCGTGAGCACCATCCCGGGGCGCTGCAGGGTCTGTCACCACAGTTTCTAATTCTGTTTGTGGACCTTGTGTCTTCATAGTGTCTTGTTCTGTCAACAGTTTACAACCTAAAAAAACAAAAGAGGTAAGGCCCGAGTGGGGTGCGCAGTGGTTAGAACATTGGCCCACACACGAAAAGGTTTCGGGTTCGATTTCTGGTCAAGGGCACGTACCTGGGTTGCAGGTTCCATCCCCAGCCCCAGGTGGGGGCGCATGTGGGAGGCAACCAATCGATGTGTCTCTTTCACATCGATGTTTCTCTCTGTGCCTTCCTCCCTCCTTTCCTTCCCCTCTATCTACAGTCAATGGAGGATTATCCTCGCGTGAGGATTAACAGAACAAAAAAAAGTAAGGACACCAGCAGCATTTCTTTTCTTTTTATTTTTTTACAGTTTCTGTGAGCATTCCTGGCATTTTCCCCATCCCCCCTGGATTGGGAGGACCTGCCCTCCAGGGAGTTGGTACCGTCAGGGCTACTCTCTCATTCCCTTGGGTAAAAGGTCCCAGGATTTTTTGAGAAAAACGGACCCACAGAAGATGGAGGCCGAGTCAGCAGAGAGAGAAGGGAGAGCCCGTGAAGAGTTCAGACAGTGAGTCAAAACTCGAATATCCCCCATTGTTTTATTTAGTCCTTTACCCACTCGTGCATGTGTCCACGTGTCTGGCACGCTCAGTGGGCATCTTCTGTGTGCTGTGCCCGCTACCATGCTGGGTGCTGAGAGACGTGGCCACTCCCCCACCCCGCATCCTGCACCCCGCACCCTGGGCAGAGTAACAGAGGAGAGGGCACACCCTCTGCCTGGGGCGCTGTGGGCGGCTTTGTGCCCTGTGGGCGCGAGGACCACCCTGGAGGTCACAGCCAGGCCGGGCAGACAAAGGGAACAGTATGCTTGCTTCCACCAGAATAGACACCGTTTTCCTTTTCTGCCCAGTCAGTGTCACCCCGAACCTCGGGGGCTGTGGTGGAGCGAGCGCCGGTGGCCCGGGGCCCCAGCCTCAGCGCACAGGCCCTTCAGTGCCGTCGTCAGTGTGGTCGGTGTGTTTCATAGCATTTCCATTTCTTCTCTCCTCTGCCCCTCGCTCGTCTCCTTAGTTTTGTCAGTGACTCTGATCTCAGCAAGCCTTCTCCTTTCCGAGTTGCTGCTCCTAAATCACCGTCAGTTAGCATCGTGGGGGAGGACCGAGTTAATGCAGGCGGTCTCAAGAGCAAGCCTGCCTCCCGCAATGTCACGGTGAGCGAGGGGCATCGTCTGGAGCAGGCATTGCTGTGATCCGCTGCTTCTGTTTGCTGTTGGTCCCCTCACTGACTTCCTGGACTTTGGATTTCCGCTCAGTGTGACGCTGCGGTGGGGTGTTATTCAAGGGCCGTGGTCGGCAAACTCACTAATCCACAGAGCCAGATATCAACAGTACAACGATTGAAATTTCTTTTGAGAGCCACATTTTTTAAACTTAAGCTATAGAGGTAGTTTGCTTCTTTGTAGCCATGTTAAACAGGGCACCTAAAAAATGTTTCATTTTATAAGAATAAAGCCACCAACACAAAATAATTACAATTCTTAAATTGGTGACAAACATACCTGTAAGGATTTGCAGCTGGTTGGAAAAATACAGGTAACTTTATGCTTCGAGTAGGTACTTTTGTCACCCGCGCGCGATTTGCGGACGCGACCAGCACTAACCACTGCACAGTGAGACTGCTGACCGACTGGCTCACTCACCTCGTGCAGGAATCCCCGCGCCTCCCCCGAGCCTCGTATCCTGCGGCCCGCCTGTGTCGCGCCTCCCGTTGCCTGACCCCCCACTTCTTCTAACGCCACTTCTTCAGAATAGACGCGCCCAGGCTGAAAACTGACTTCTGCGCATGGGCCACGAAGTTTCAATCGCACTGTACGTGCGCGCCCGCACGTGGTATTTTGTGGAAGAGCCACACTCAAGGGGCCAAAGAGCTGCATGTGGCTCGAGAGCCTCGGTTTGCCGACCACTGTTCAAGGGGATTATAGATGAGCAGACGACGAGAAGATGACCAGGACACAGTATTGGGGGCCCCAGGACGATCTCAGGAAGGGCAGGAAATGCTCACTGGGGTTGAGCTCCTCAGAGGCCTCGTGCTTACTCACCTCCTGCTTACTCACCTCCTCCGTCCCCCGCTCCCCTAAACCCCTGCCTCCCCCTCCTGTGCAATTGTTTGAGTAGTTCATGGAGGTCTCCAGGAATGTATTAGTTTCCAGTGGCTGCTGTAACAAATTACCACAAAGTGGGCGGCTTAAAACAACAGAAATTTCCTCTCCCAGGCCTGGAGGTCAGGCGTGGAAATCAAGCTGGGCACACCCCTCCGGGCAGGGCAGCCCCGCCCCATCCTGGCTTCTTCCAGCCGCTGGGGCCACCTGGCATCTCTGGGCTCCTGGCTGCACCCTCCAACCCCGCCCTCTGTCTTCACATCACCTCTGTGCGTCTCTGTCCCTCTCCTACCTTTAACCTTCTTGTGCCTCAGTTTATAAGGATGGACACTTGTCATTGGATTTAGGGTCCACCCAGGTGATCCAGAAGGACTTCATCTCAAAATTATTTTATATATATATATATATATATATATATATATATATATATATATATAAATGATTTCAGAGAGGAAGGGAGAGGGAGAGAGAGATGGAAACATCAATGGTGAGAGAGAATCATCGATCTGCTGCCTCCTGCACACCCCCTACTGGGGATCGAGTGTGCAACCCGGGCATGTGCCTTGACTGGTTACCAACCATGACCTCCTGGTTCTTAGGTCGATGCTCAACCACTGAGCCACACCAGCCGGGCTCAAAATTCTTAATCACATCTGTACAGATGCTTGTTCCAAATGTGGTCCCATCCACAGGTCCCAGGGGTTTGCTGTGTCTGTCCTTTGGGGCTGATTTTTATTGGTGCCTAGAACAACGCCTGGCGCACAGTGGGGCCACATCATGTTGCTGCTGCTGCTGCTGTCCTGTTACTCACACATTCATTCATTCACCCGAGTGTCCAGGTGCCATGACACAGAAGGGAAGCGGGGTGTGGCCCTGCCCAGGAGGGGGTGCCAGCAGTGTTTCCAGGTGTCTGAGGTCTGCTCTGAGCACAGGCGCTCAGCTAAGTGTTCGTTCCCAGACAAACTTACAGTGTTAGCACTTTGGGACGCGGCATTCCTGGTTCCAAGCACCCAACGTACAACTAAACTTAGGAAAAGTCCAGATGACTGTTAACGTGGGAATTAGGCGCGCTCAAAGACAGTCTACGCCGTGAGCAGGATTCCGCACGTGTACAGTTTTTAGAACACTTCCCCGCCCGCTTCCTCACCTGGGCCGTGTGTCCCCTTGAAGAGACGATCGCAGGACGTGAGCCTGAGGTGCCCGACTCTGTCCTCCTTCTCCCTCCGTCATCAGACCTTGACTGGCATCCTCTGTGTCCCTGCCCCCTGCGAGGTGCCGAGACTACCAGCAGGAAGCTCCCTGAGCCTCGGGAGGGCGCCCCGGGTGGCACTGGAGCCCATGGGGGGTGTGCCCTGCTTCCCCAGGAGGGGCGAGCTGACCGAGGCCTGAAGGACCAGGAAGGTTGTCTGGTGAAACTGGCAGGAAGGGAGGGTGCTGGAGGCACCGAGACCGGCCCCAGGCGGCGCCGGCAGGAGAATCTAACATCCCGCCGGCAGGAGGCGCTGGTCTGTGATTGCAGGGAAATCTCCCCCCACTGCCACGCCCACCTGTCTCCTTCAGGGAGCCAGTTTGTGTCTGGAAATTAAAAATTAGAGCATCGTTCTCCTGGCTTAAGCTAGACGGCAAACTTACTCTCCCCGCAAACGCAAAATCCCCCTCAACGGGGTGAGGCTTCTGCTCGGCCGGCCCGTGTGTGTGTCGGGCGCCTGGTGTGCTTCCCAGGCAGGCAGGGTCTGAGGATGTGGGGTACTTGATGGATGTGGGTGCACGGGATGTGGGGCAGGAGCAGGACAGCCTCTGGGGCCCACCGCACCCCTCATTTACCATTCCTCTTGGCCCAGCCTGGAGCTGTCCCACCACATTGGACACTGGGTCCCAATGCTCTTCCTTGAGCCCTTCCTTTTGGGGGGCAGGAAGTAGGCTCTCCATTCATTCGCTGGACTTCTGTATCCCTTTCCCCTCTTCCCTCCTGTGTCCAGCTCTCCGTTGGTCCCCCGAGATGGCAGCCTGCTGAGAGCCCCAGGCCCCAGGCCAGGGCCCAGCGGGGCAGCCCCTCTGTGGCATCGAAGTGGCTTCTCTGGCCAGCCCGCCGGGCATGTGGCCTCTGTTTGCCTCAGCACCGGCACAGGGTGCGGCAGCAGTAGGTTCTGTGTGTGATTCGCATGCTGAAGACACGCACACAAGCTTTAGTTATTTCTTTTACCAACCGACCCACTTTTCCTTACAGCGGTTTGCAGTGTGCACCGGATCCTTCAACTGTGACGTTGTCTTGGCCGAACGTTGCGCGGCGGTGTTGCCATTGACGTTGGTGGGAAGTAGATGAGGATGTTACAGCTGTGAGAGGGGGCGCTCCTGCCCAGGGCAGCCCCTGTCCCCCAGCTCCGGCCGCCTCTGGGTGTCTGGGTTCCTCTGGCAGGACAGGGGCGCCTGGGGAGGTGGGAGGTCTGGGGGACCTCTTCCTGCGTTGGAGGGAGGTCAGAGGTCACAGGTGGCAGCCGTGACAATGCTGAGTCTCAGGCCTGGAGCACCAGGTGGCAGTTCCGAGGGCAGGGAGGGCGGCCAGCTCCAGGGGGCAAGCAGGCGAAAAGCTTCAGGTGCTGGGGTTGGGGGGGGGGGGTGCATGTTAGTACCCATGACGCTCTTCCTCAGGGTGACCCTCAGGGGCTAGTGATGCTCTAGAGCAGTGGTTCTCAACCTTCCTAATGCCGCGACCCTTTAATACAGTTCCTCATGTTGTGGTGACCCCCAATTTCATTGTTACAAATTGAACATAATTAAAGCATAGTGATTCATCACAAAAACAATATGTAATTATATATGTGTTTTCCGATTGTCTTAGGCAAGCCCTGTGAAAGGGTCGTTCGACCCCCAAAGGGGTCGCGACCCACAGGTTGAGAACCGCTGCTCTAGAACCTCGCTGTGGTCCAAGGGGCCCTCCGTGGTCACGTCCATCTGCTGGGGTGTTGGCAGGAGGCGTGGGGATGTCAGCCCGCGTCTCCTCCCCTGTGGGTGCCTGGCTTGGCACAGGAGCTGGTTTTTCTCGTTTCCTCGGATTAGCTGGAGGGAGTGCTCTCGCCTGCCTCTATCCTTTCCCTTTGCCTCCCTGAGTCTCACTCCGGGCAGTTGTCGGGGGTCCGGTGACCCTGATCGGGGCAGTTGTTGGGGTTCGGTGACCCTGATCGTGGCAGTTGTCGGGGGTCCGGTGACCCTGATTGGTGCAGTTGTCGGGGGTCCGGTGACCCTGATCGGGGCAGTTGTCAGGGGTCCGGTGACCCTGATCGGTGCAGTTGTCGGGGGTCCGGTGACCCTGATCGTGGCAGTTGTCGGGGGTCCGGTGACCCTGATCGGTGCAGTTGTCGGGGGTCCGGTGACCCTGATCGGGGCAGTTGTCAGGGGTCCGGTGACCCTGATCGGGGCAGTTGTTGGGGTCCGGTGACCCTGATCGTGGCAGTTGTCGGGGGTCCGGTGACCCTGATCGGTGCAGTTGTCGGGGGTCCGGTGACCCTGATCGGGGCAGTTGTCAGGGGTCCGGTGACCCTGATCGGCAGCCGTGAGAGACTCAGTGGAAAGTTTTCTGAGCAGGGAAAGTGTGTTCCCAGGAAAGTAGGTATGGATACGAGGTATTTGCCCTCATTTTTCATTTTTTTTTTTAAGATTATAAAGTTAGTAGTAATACTCATAAAAAGCCAAATGTTCCAGAGGTGGGTGAAGTTAATGGGTTGGGCCCATTTCTGGTCTGCATCTCCCCCCAACTCCCAGCTCCCTACAGCGGCCACTGTGGGCCCTGGGCCTGCGTCTGCCCTGGGCGCGGCCACCCAGCTCTCGGGTGGTTTCTGTGGACTCTGCTGGGCCTCAGGGCGACCGGCAAATGCCCCGATTGCGAGGGGCTCCCTTTAGTTCTGGAGCCTCCGGCTCTTCGGATCCTGTCACTCAGTTGCCCCCCAGACGCACTTTGTCTCTGGAGGTTGGGGTGACGCTGGGCTGGACTCACTCGGGGGCGTGGCGCCTCTGCGTGCGCCCTGGCTTGCCGGGGTCCAACCCCAGCAGGTCCAGGGGTCCCCAAAGGTGTGGATGGAGTCGGCGAAGAAGGAAGGACACGGAGACAGCGTTCAGTTGATCAGCAGCCTAGCCAGGATCTCCAGCCAGGATCTCCAGCCAAGTTCTGGTCTGGATCTCCAGCGAAGTTCTGCTTAGGATCTCCTGCCAGGGTCTGTGTCCATGTTCTCTTGCTAGGTTCTCCAGCCAGGTTCTGTCCAGGTTCTCCAGCCAGGTTCAGTCA